CTCTGAGCAATCTCCCTGATTCTCTGAGGGAATGATCTCAAAGGACAACAGCAGCCCTTACATGTTTGCAGCCCCTGAAAGGGACATGGTGTTGCAGGGGCAGTACCAAGCATCCCAACTGATCCATCCATAGCCACTAACACTGGTAAAACAGCAGCTCTAAAGGACAAAATCCTGGTTCCCACAGAACTCAGGCAGCTGATGCTTTTGATTTAAGTCAGGTTGAGATTTCACTCGCTTCTTCAGTCAGTATTTCTTTGTAATAAGGTTTTCTACATGTGCTGAATTATTTACATCAAGGTCCAGATTATGTATAGCAAACAATGCAACATAACAATTAATTTACAATCAGAAATATACATCTCCTGGTGTAACAATCATCAGGGTATTTTTATGGCATAAAAATGCATTATGCAGTAAAAGTTAAAGTAAACTGCATTTCCTGGTTTATATAAAAACAAAGGGATTTCATTCATATCAGTCATAAACAATCAATTTTTGGCTTTTGACTGTCCCTCAGATTTGCTAACATGGGAAGTCTTCCTACATTTTCAAGCCTTTTCAATTTTGTGAACTATGCATTTCAAGCATAATCCAATGAAACTTGATTGCATAAAATATTCCTGTCACAAACATAGAGTAATATGCAATGCCTTGCACTCCATCCTTTTGAAAATGAAGGCTGCAGTATGGGTTATATCTACTTTGTGTTGGATATACTTGCTCTATAATTCTTGTGAAGGCTCTGAATCTCTGCCAGTTCAAAGCTACAGGCTTTCCCAGAAGGGCACCTCCCTTCTGCTGCTGGACAGCCAATTCTGAGCACTTGGGGCTAAGCCCTTGGGAGTTAAATATTTGCTATATATCCAAAGTCAATAAAAGATCTTGTAAAATAAAAAATCCTCTAGTATAGTATAATATAATTCAATAAGAAAAACTTTTTTTTCAGCTGTTTCCTGTTCATTTGTTGTGAGCCTGAACTTGATAAACCTGCCCCCACACACTGCAATGAGCAGAATATGGGCTCTGACCATTTATAGACCAATATTCATTAGGGGTAGCTATTCTATATAACTTTCTTCCCCTTGGAAGCTTATGCTGGTGATGCTGTCTCTGAACCAGAGATGTGCATCTTTCTTCATGGATCTTATTTCACAGACTGTTTAAATTGCACAGAACTCTCTCCCAGATCCTTCCTAGAAGGGATGATTGTGGTGGTATTTATCCATAAGGGGTTTATTCATTAAAAGTGAGGCTTACATGCATACGCGCACACTGGGAGAAGTTTAGCCCCTTGCAGCGGTTACTGGGAAGAGCTGTACCTCTCCTTGTGTACCAGTCACCTCGCAGAAGCACCTAGCCATGCAGCATACTGGTGATCAGCCTTGTGCTGCTATCTGCATCGAGACATGTTGACCTTGTTTGTACAAAACTAAAGAAATATCTAAGAGATAAGGGAAGATAGTAGGCTACAAGGGGTCTTCTGTCTCTCAGGTTTTTCTATGTGGTCAGCATGGACTGGGAGGACCTTTTTAATTTTAAAAATGTTGATCTTCTGGAAGCTGTTATATGCTAAACATTTAAAGTAAAGCAACTTACCTATAAATATAACAATGAAAAATCTGTATTTATTCTCAAATAATTTGTGGTCTGTCAAATACATGTAATGTATAAACATGGTGCTAATAGAGATCAAATATTTCACTACAAAACCCAGGGAAATATAAAAATAGTATCTTGTTACCTCATTATGCTATATGTAGCATAATCCTGATGAATTGACATCTGTCATGTTAAATACGAAGGTGAGACTGTATTTCACCAAGTGTTTTCGATACTTGCTAGATATTTAGATAACCTCCAAACTCAGAGAGGGAGAACTCTTGCCCTTAGCCACACTGCTGAAGTCAGTGAGAATTACTGCTGAGTTATACAGGATACAGTGAAATAAAGTTTTCCATACCAAGGAGCTGTCTGGTCTCAGGTCAGTCTTCTCCACAACAGTGGGTCTTACGTTGGTGATATAAATGAGGTTACCTGTTGGAGAGCAGACACGCAGCTGGGAAAGAGATTATTTCTGCTCACCTCCTGATCAGCCTCTTTCATCAGCTCAGTGTTGTTTTAGCAAGCTGAGAAACTGTCCTGGTTGGGGCTGGACTAGAGTTCCCCAGGTCCCAGTGCCCTCACCTGTGTGCGGGGGCGGGGGGAGCACAGCTGGAGGGCTGGGCCCCGATTGGCCGATAGTCCATGTCATGTGACATTGTGCTCACTATATAAAGGCAGGAGAGGGGCTCTCACTTTTGGGGAGTGTGGTGGGGCCTTTGTGTTTGGGATTGCCAGCTGGGAGCAGGTGGGTGTTCGGTCAGGCAGGAGGTGAGCAGCTGTATGGTATGTTACCCATTGGTACTGCTGCCAGTGTATTATTCTGTCATTGTAATTAAACTTTTTATCTCAACCCATGAGTGTCTCTTTGCCCCTCCGATTCCCTCCCCATTCCCAAGTGGGGGGAGGGTGGGTGAGCGGCTGTGGGGCGTTTAGCTGCAGACCAGGCTCAAACCACAACAGAAATGCAGTGTAGCCAATGTCTCTTGGCCCAGTCATTTTCATCATGATTCCAGTCCGGTGCAGGAGCAGGCAGATGGGTGACCCTGGTTGCCTGGGCTCCAGAAAGTGTTAAGGTAGTTAAGGGAGGCAACATACCTTCTCTGCCCCACATTCTCTCCCACTCATGCTTTGTGCATTTTGGGAGACTATGGACCACTCTTTACTTGAACACAGTTCTTACAATAATTCATTTATATTCATGTATATATATATATGCTACCTAAAATTTCCAGATATTTGATCTTTTTGTGCCATTTATCTAACATTCATCTTCTCAAGAGTTTTTTAGGTGGTGTTTGTCTTAGATGACAGGGTTACATTCTCTTTTTGACAGAAAAGTGATGTTATTCTGCTTCTAAAGATACTTAATCTATGTGCTCAGACTTTTATGCTTAATTTAATTTTAAATCTCTATGTACCATTTCCATAATTTCAGTGTTCTCTTTTTTAAAAAAAAGAAAATGTGGGCCAAGCACCTGAATTCTATGAACTGGTTTGGATTAAAATGCTCACTTTCTAGCCCAATTTGTGGTGAGTACATCCTGGATCAAAAGCAAGTCAACATAAGGTCCAAACTGTAAAGGAGAAACGTTCCTCCTGAAAATATGTAGGATGCACATATTGGAGAGTAAACACTTCTTGTGTTGGCAATACTGAAGTGCAGAGAATTGCAGGGCAGATGAGTGAAGGAACTGTATCCCCTTGACCTACATTTATGCAAACTAACATTACCAGCACTTGGGAGTGAAGGAATTGCATCTAGTCACATGTCTGCACATTAAATATTACATGAAGTAACTCCCTGTGGTCACTTCTAAAAGCTGCATTTGCTTGCAGTGAGAGAAAAAGAACCAGATTCTTAAAATCAGTGTAGACTTCTGAGGTCCTTTTTAAATGAAGGTAGTTGCTTGTTTGTTTTTCTCTTAAATATAGGCTTGTGAGATCCTGAAATCTGATTATGAAGAAAATTTCAAGTGGCATATAATGAGAGTTGAGTACCTTCCTGCTCCAGCAGAGCACACTGCACATCTCTGCTGCTATAAAATAATAAAAAATAAGACTTGACAGGAGTTTGACAGGTCATCTAAATGGTCTCTCTGCCAAGGCAGATGAGCAAGGCCTAAATCATCCCTAACACTGTCTGTGCTGATTTGTGTTTCATGGGACATATAACATTCTGGTTAGGTATCTTACTGCGGTGCTTTCTTTTTTCTGCAGCAGTATGACATGCTCAGTAATGATAACCTTCTCATCACTTAATTTTACTGGTTAAAACAGCTGTCTTTTCTTATGATAAGCATACTGATCTATACTTCAGACACTGAGAAATACTTTATTTTCTCTATGATGCTCTGAGTACTCAGTAAAGGGGTGCTTAAATATAGATTTGTGATTCCTCTGGAAGTGCTGCACAGGAACACCTGCAGGTCATGAAGAATTAAACCTTACAGGTACCTTGATTACTACAGCTGCCACAGAACTACAGGTATCACAGCAGCATAACTCTGGCACCATCTTAAATCTCAGGGCTGCCAGGGACTTAAATTTCACTGGATAGTTGACTGAGGAGCTGCTCAAGTTCTTCCTCCTGAGGTGGTATTTCAAGATGGAAGTCTGACCTTCCCTGACCGCTGGCTGATGACATTTTCTGTGTAGGGCCCATGCTTTCATTTTGCAAAGTCCCTCTGAAGCAGTGTTTTCCTGGAGCAAGTACAATGCTACACTACAATGACCTAGCTGCCCCAGGAACTCAAATTTCCCAGTTTGGCACTACCATTAGTTACAAAGTCTCCATCTTTTTTTTTTTTTTTTTTTTTTCCCCCACCTGTGGTTAGCACTGGGTCCAAATTGCATGTAGTTGGGCTCAGGTCTTCTATACTGCCAGAGGGCAGAGAGGGCATGCTCACACACTTCAGAGTCTCACTGTCTTGGGATCAACTACTGTTTCAATGCAAATTACTTTTAGATTACAAATGCTCTTATTTTTGAGCAGTAATCAAACAACTGTGCATATCTAGCTTTATGAAAACATATCTGACTTAAAATTCCAAGCACTGGAAATGCAGATACCTTCACATTGTCAGTGTTTAGGATTTGCATCTTTGAAAAAAAGCTCAGATTTTGTTTATTAAGGTTGGCAAAGGATGGAGGAGGATTTGGGAAAAGAGGACAGAAACTCACCACATTTGTGTGGTTGGTTTTATCCCAAAACAGTTATGTTGCTACATTATAAACACATGAGCACTTTGTAATAGCAATACTGGCAGACTTTTAATTAAGGTAGTGTTATTGCTAAGAATTTTAATACAGATAAAATTTTCTGTTCTACCTTTGTTGCTGTTTAATTTCAGCTAAAACATATTTATTAAGTAAATAAAATAAAAACCAAGTCTTACTTTCATTATCCCATGCCACAACAAGTCTTTTAATTTGTGCTGTGGTTCTGTATCTAGCAAAGAATAGCAGCCAGTATATTCCTGATAGGTTTAGTTGTTCAAACAAAGCAAGCACACAAACCCTTCTGCCAGAGCAAATGTTCACTAAACAGGGTTTTCATGTGTTAGGTGTAGTGTATGAGAGGAAACAGATACTGCAGAGGTGATTAATGTAAGGTTAGTTTCCTCTTAAAATACACCTTGAATCCACAGATTCAAGTGTCAGCTCCTTTCCTACCTTTTGATACATCAATTCGTTATGCATTTCTTCCATTCCTGTGAAATGTATTAGACACACCTTACTGGCAAGACATCATAATTATTGAGTTTGTATCAGCATTCCCAATATTACTGTCACTAGTGTATGGTTGTATACATAAAACAGAGAAGTGAAATTTACCTTATGTGTGCAATGACAACATTTCAAACCATCACGAGATGAAGAAAAATAGCATTTTTCATTGGAAAATATTTTGACTAGAAATTACTAAGCAAGCACCTCTAAAACACAGCCTTTCCTGCAAAGCCCAAGGGTGATGCCAACCATGAACTTCGTTTGTATGTTAGACTAAATTTTTAGTGGCTGCAAATCATCATCCCTCCACTGAAACCAAAGCTGCCAATAAAGAAAGACTCAACCACACAGTGGTTCCACCACCCGAAGCTCAAACTGAGATCCTAAACCCCAGATTTCAAATTTGGCTTTTCAGAGCATTCTGCTGAACAGAGCAAGAAAATTTCATTAGTGAAGAAAGAAAACAACTGCTATAATGGCAAAGCATTTCCATTTTGAACATTCACATGAACATAATAGACTGTAAAACAACTTGTACTTACATGTAAACATATACATTATTAAAACAAACATGTCCATTATTAAATTGTCTGTATTACACACACTTCTTTTACAATCAGCTCATTTGTGTCTTTAGAAACTAGGAATGCCTTCTGGAGCTCTCTGGGGAAGTGTGGTGTGCCTCAAAGCTATTCAGAAATACAGCATTCATAGCAGAGATACTTTATCGTCTTTAATAACTAATTCCTCCACTTTCCATTGTTCGCTGGTAAAAGTAGAAATAGCAATACATGAAATAGTGTTGCCTGAAAAAATAACTGCCTTCATATTCCTTGAATTCTGGAAAATAGGTCTGTGGCTTGCATGAATACATGGGATTGTATTTTCCTGTGAATGTTCCACTAGCCATGCGATGAACTGCACCATCAGCAGACAGTTAGTTCTTGCTCCCTGGCTCCTCTCTCTTGCTCTGCGGTGGCAGCGCCAGCAGCTCACTCCTCCCAACAGGGTGCAGAGTGGGTACGTGTGTGTGCTGGTGGCACAAACAGGGCAAGCCTCTTCCCTGCAAGGTAATGCCTCACATACGGATAGAGGGAATTTGGTCCCCTCTTGTAGTGCTAGGTTTACACCTATCCCTCACGAGCTCATTCCTGGAAGGAATCCAGTGAGATGGTGACTCATTTAAGTAGACATGTACAGTGAGCCTCCATTTAAAATTTACAAATGGAAGGTAAAGCCTAGGGTTTAGTTGTGTCAGTGAAGGAAAAACTGAGCCTGACTGAGTTAAAAATGGTTTAAAATTGCCAAAGACGAAATTGCCTCCTGTTTTCAAGGTCTATGCTGAAATGTATTGCGTAAATTGTACCTGAACACTGAATAGAATTGCTCACTGCTCATCTAAGTCAACAGGGATGTGCCTGATTATTTCAACAGAATCTGAAATAGATTATCAAGGTTTATGACAAGACTCATTTATGATCTCTTCCTATGGGACTCTGGGACAAGAATAATTACCTTGTGGCATACAGACTGTCCTGCAGCCTTTTCTCAACACATGTGCCAGATTAGGGCCCCTTGTCTGTAGCCCCCAAAGTTACCTCAAAAGAATTGATGTTTAGCTCAAGTGCCTTATTTCATTTTTTCTCTTCTCCTTTAACATCTGACAAGATCTGGATTTAAGACTGTTATAACCCTATGATATTTTAAGTACCTTATACAGTGCTAAGGAGAAAAATCACTACGGATGGAATTGCAACAAGCAAATGAAGGAAAGGCGGAAGATTTACGGCAGCAGCAGAAGTCCCACATGAATGCAACATGCAGCATAAAGGATTCCATTCTATCTCTCTCCACTCATCTGTCACATAGGGCAGTATTTTTACAACTCCCGGGCCACAGCTGGTAATTAGATATTTGAGATGAGCAAGTATCACCACTGGCACTTGTAGCTGCCCCTTCCTCTGACCGTGTCTTCCTGCTTGGGCTGTGGTGGAAGCATCAGATGCAAGTGTATTAGCAGGGAAAACAAATAGGGATTGATAACTTTTCAGCTTCTTTCGAAGTTAAAGACTGTGATGAGTATTGTGAAGTTGCTAGCATTTGATACATCTCATGCACATCTCAGCCAAAGGCAAAGGAGTGGGAAATCTGTAGGACAGTTCTTCAGAGATGCAAGAAGGAATAACGTTATATTAATTACACATTTTATGCATAAAACTCCATAGGAGTCACAGCTCTATAAAACTTCATTGGCACTGGCCTTGCTGCTTGCAGATTCTTTAGAATTAGCTTCATGTAGGCAATTAATATATTTTATTTCTTTTGTGATATCCCAAACTTTTGCTGTGACAGTACTGTAACTTTTAACTGCAAATCAGCTTCTCCCTGACCTGATTTCTGCCTCAGTAATCACATAGAGACTCTAATGATGCTTTGAATGTGTGATAAAAGGTGCTTATTACTCACAAAACTGTACATTCATCATGTCTTCCTGATGACAGGCTCACACATGAAATCATCACCTTCAAGAATTAGAGACTCGGAGCAGCAAGCAGATTCTAAAAATAGATGCTTCCTGTGCTAAGACATTAGTTTCTTATTTCTTACCTGGAGTCCTTTACTACAGTGATCATAATTCTATTATAGAGGCAAGCATTCATCTAGCGTTCATCTCAAAATGGCTATTAAAGAAAATCATAATTTCCAAACAAATTTCACAGTTATTTCAGGGTGAAAGAATTGTGTAGTAATGATAAGTTTCTGGGCAACAGTAGGGTGACATTTTTTCCTATAAATAAATATTCTAGAACTAGCAGTATTGTTAAACAAAAGCTATTTTGAGATGCCTTCAAGACTTGTGTGATGCAGCCTAAAGAAACAGTCTGTTTCTCAGCGAGTGTTGTGATCCTGGTATGCAATGACTACTTTACCTTCATTTGTTTTATGCACATGCTAATGGGTTGATAATATTTTGGGCTATCCTTTGGGGATCATCAAGATTTGAATAGTTTGGAGTGATTCTTTTTCTGTTTGTCTGTTTGATTTGTCTTGCAATGTGCAAAATCTTTTAAGAAGTCATCAGGCTCATTAAAAGGGCATAAGTAAAGGACTCCAAGCCAGTTATATCTTGTGAAAGCTGATAGTTCAAAATCTAGTGTTAAAGTACTGAAAGCAAAAAGTGCTGAAAGTTTCCAGTTGCAATGTACTGGTTCTTTCTTTCCTATTTGCTATGGGCTACCTGGCACTATTACTACTGTTGGATGGTCACTTCATACAGCTGGTGGCAGAAGATGTGGAGATGACATAGCCTGGTGGGCAGGTCCACATTTGCTCCCTGATGCAGCACACAGGAGGAAATTTCCTATTTCAAGGTCTGCATCAGACTCCCTCTATGCCATCACTTTCAGACACTGATGTGGTTTGAATATGACGTATCCTTTCACCTGGTCTTGCCCTCTTCTACAGTGGCTTGGATATCCGTGCTCCCACCCTTCTCCCTACTTTGTTCACAAGCAGAATGTGAAATTATGTATTTGCAATGGCTGGTGCTGAGCTAGGCAGATGTCTCTCCAGATTTTAATGCAACAAGTTCAGAGTCCTCTAGGTATCTCCCATTTAACTGTTCATTGTTGGAATCATGATGGTACAGGTAAACAGGGACCTCTGTGATTGACGTTGCAGTGTAGGAGGTAGATCGCGTGGAACAGTGCTCTCTGCGCCTTTGGCCCCACTGGGTTTTGTACTGTGTCCATTGCCTCTTCAAAGCTCCTTGTACCTATTAAAGAAACACATAGTTATGGTGAGGCTTAAGGTAAACCCCTATAATTGTAGACATTTTAATATGATGCAGGAAATAGGGGAAGAGAAGGGAAAAGCTCCAGGTCTAATTCCATCAGGTTCAGTCTACCTCTCTCCTCCCCTCTGGTCCCAGCTCCAGAAGCAGAAGAAGTTTCTTAGCTCTCAGCCTTAACTCCTTCCCTGCCTATCCTATCAGAGCAACTTGAGTTTATGCAGTTGTTACTGCTTGTGGAGAGAGGGTATAGGTTAGCTCTTCCCCTAAGAGGTAAATGTTGAACAGATTGCTGCGCAGAAACACAGTAGCATGCTACGATAGAAGAGGGAAGGAGGGATGGGGATTAAAACCCATCTGATGCTGCCGCTGGATCCTTGCCCCTGACATGACTAATGCATTGTGATCCCTGAAGAAACTTAACCTTGAGTAAAACTGGCCACGAAAGGCAAAGTGTAAGTACACTTTAAGAGCTTGCCAGAGCTAATTTTGTAGAGAGAAAGAGTTGGAGGATAAGTACAGCTAAACAGAGATTTTGTTATTTTAATTTAAGAACAGGCTCTGTGCTGACAAAAAAATAACATTGGTCATAGCCCTCTGTGTAGCAGAGAATTTCAACATTTGGACATTCATCTTCTAGGAATAAGATATTTTGTTCAACATTTACATTAAGAGTGATATTATATATGGTGCTAGGATATGACTTAAGCTATTGAGTCCTGCCAGGGAATAAGAAGCCCTTCTCCACCTGCATGTTCAGGCATGCTGGCACTCGCTACATCCTTCCCAAAGGACTAAGACATGAGCAGGGAGTGGGTAAAACCTGGCTCTGTTCATTTAGATCAGTGATTCCAGCCAGAAAAATGTGAGAATAGGAGCAATTTGCCATAATAATCTGTTGTAAATGACCACTTCTCCAGAGTAAGGCAGGTGCAGGTGAGGGTCTGAGATGACAGTGGTGTCCCTGAGTTTCTGTGCTCCTGCTGAGGTGGATGTTGTGTGTCATTTTTGCTCAGGGAGTAGTTTGAAATCACTGTCTAGGCTCTGTGCAGAACATTATCTTTGATTCATGTAGATTAATCTGAATGACTTCAATATTTCCCAAGTTTCCACAATTCTAATCACTCTACTAATATGTATATAGTAAAATTTTTTTACTCACCACCCACAGCTGCCTGCAAGAAAGCTGTTTCATGTCATATAAGGACAAGGCTTCATAAGGAATTGCTATGAATCTGAGATACTTACTGAGTGTACAGTGGGACTATGCAGCATGCCAAGAATGGATATTTCAATTGCTTTGGCTTTTTATTTTTAATCCGAGATGCAAGCCAAGGTATGAGGATTGATGCTATAAATCCTTACTCATGCAAGTAGTTACACTGACTTTGGTATGAGTACTTTCTTGAATAAACAACCTTTTGCCGGACTAGTCCTTTAAAAGTAACTGAAAATGTTACCCATGCCCAATTTCCAATACTAGGTCTTTTTGATATTATTTATCTCAAGACAAAGTAGTTAAGAGTTCTTTTCATTTGAAGAAATATATTACTATTCACCTCCTAACACATAAAGACAAGAAAACAAACAGCTAAGTGTAGGTTAATTGAATATCAAACATGGAAAAAGCATATGGTTACAATGGAACTTTAATTACTGGGGCTGTGAGCAAAGCTTACTATGCCAATACCGAGATTTAAAGTGAAATGGCTGCATGTGGGGATGTTTCATATTACACCATAGCCAAAGTTTATTAGTGAGAAAGAATTACTGCATGAAAGAGTAATGTATTTGTAGCACATGATATATAAATATTATGTATGAGGTAAACCCTGTAAAGATTTTAGTCACTTTAAAATTGCCTTTTGATGTTACAGTATAAATATTGTATCTTAGTCACCCTAGAAACTATGGGGAGGGATGGGAAGAAGAAATCTTCAGGACTAGATCAGTGACTTTCCCCAGTATCACACTAGGGCAGTGGCTCTTGTAAACTAAGGCTGGACACAAGGAGGATAACGGAGAAATCTGTGGTGACCACAGCAGCTCTGCCCACCCACAGCCTCCTCTCCAACATCACCACCACTTTTACCCATTGCACACCTCTGGCCTTCACCTCTGCCCCTAAGTACTGTGTTTGTACTTCAGAGCAGTTCATCCGATCAGATTAATTGTAGCATCTTCAGTGAAAGTGGCAAGAACATGCTCTTACAGCCCTCCCGTTCCTCTCCTATCCCCCTCCCCTGCCCCCTGCAGAGATCCCACAGGTTCGATCACTCTTGCATGGAGGGAAGAGCTGCTGTGAAGATGATGAGCTCCTGCTGAGCTCCCAAACTACTCTCAGTTGAACTGGAGTCTGACAGGCCACCAGGGCAACTGTAGATCTGGAGGTTATCATCTGGAGATGGTAACACAGTTAACCAAAGAGGGAAGAACAGTGTCACTGAGTCTTATAAATCCTACTTTGGGGAGCTTATAGTTTTCTTCTCAGAAGGGAGTGACACCTGTATGCATGGTTGGGGAGAGAACAGGCACATCCCTGCCAGTTCAGTCCATGATTAGAAGTGCCATCAGTCAGGTTTGAAAGGCTCCACAGAGCAGTGGGAGCACGAGGTCAAAGCACCTCTGGTTTTATTCTCTGCTGAACTGCTGGCCTGTACAAGAATTCAGCCACAAATGGATAATGGATCATACAAGCTGCTGCACTTGAGTAAATCAATGTGTTAATCTAGATTTCTGCCATGATTCCAAGGATCTCAGATGATCATGATTCAGTGCCAAATAAAACTGTTCATGCATGGATTTTAAAAGTTTAAGCAACATTACTGAAAATCACATGCACAGTCATAAAGTATTAACAACCAAGAAGGCTCCTGTGGACTGGGAGGTGCAGGGCAATGCCTGCCATGCATTCTGCTGTGAGAACAGATGGAAGAAAGTAAAGCCTAATGAATTAAGAGCCTGAGTTTATTTATTTGGCTCTTCAGGTCTGTAAAGATTTTTCTGTTCTCTATTAGCCATTCATGCCTCTGGCACACAAGATGTATGGATGTTTTTTTTCCAAACAGACTTTCCATTTTGTTGGCCAGCCTTGCAGTCTAGAAGCAACCTCAGGCCTGGAAATATGGTCTGGTGAGCAGACTATTGCAGAGACCTTGTATCATCTGAACAGCACTGTTGTTGTTGGACAAACTACAGCGCTGCTAGACACTGAGATTTTATATGAAAACGCACAAGATCTGTCAGTTTAAAAGTCCAAAACAAATCCACTGTTTATATGTTCCTCCACATGAGTGCAGGCATTGGTACAGCTTCTTATTACTATTTTTACAGTTCTTTCTACAGATGGGCTCACAGTGAGGTTGGTGAGGTAGTAGGCGATGAATGCAATATAAAACAGTCAGGTGGTACTGAGTTTAGCATTGTTTGTCCTGGCTAAACTTCATGTCTTTCAGACTTGACGTTAAATATTCTAGTAGGAAAAAGTAAATCCAAGAGTATCCAGGTTCCTGTGGTACTAAAATTAATCTACTTGCCCCACGCTGAATTTTCTCATGAGAAATAATTTTGAGGTCTATGGCATCAGATGTATACAGCAGCTTGGAAAGAATCTCCTACCATGACTGAAGACCTGACTGTGGCTTTGGTCTAAGTCCTACTGCACACAGCAAGACTGGGGGAAGTTATCAGCTTAGTTCTCTTGGGCAGTCAAACTCAGACCAGTGCTCCCTTTGTTGCAGTTACCTTAATGAAACAGTTGGAATCCTAGAATATTATTTTGATTTTAGTTTAAAAGTATGATTTTGATTTAACATGAAGCTACAGTAGCTCTGAAAATATAAAGTACACTAAGGCCCTTAGGATTAAGCAACTAGTAAGCTGTGTGCTTTGAACATTATAAGAATCGTCATGGGCTCTGAATTAACGTAATGGGTACTGGTTATGGATCTTGACTTGAAACAATAGGTACCTGAGGAAAACTGGTTTGGTTGGAAAGACTGGGCAAGGGAGAGGTGAACATTAACCAAAGGTGGAATGAGCATGCGCAAGGATGGAGTTCAATCAAGCGGACACAGTGATGAAGACTATCAACGACCACCAGAGACCCCCATCCAGTATAACCACGCATGCGTCGGAGACATTTGCATATGATAATAATTTCCAAGAAACAACATGAATATGCTAATCATTGCCCTCCCCCCATTCTATTTAAATCAATTAGTGAGGATGAGCCAATGATTTCTGTAGAATAGGAATATAGGTAGGGAGAAGTAACTAAAAGCCAATCATTATAAAGGTCAGCTTAAACGTTATGGAATTATTGATCTTATGTAACTATGACTCTGCTGAAAAAGTGTATAAATATGTTGTGCTTTGTACCTATCGACGAACACGTCTTTGGCGGAGTTATCCCCCGTGTTCCCCAGCGCTGGAATAAAGAAGTGCCTGCTTATCTGCTGTGTGTAGATAAGTTCTATTCGCGATTGCGACCGCTAACACCTTTGCAAGGACCTAATACCATCTTGGCATTAGTCTGTTGCTGCCTCTTTATAGGTTTTGTGCTGTGTGTATTTACACCTTGTGTAACTGCAGGAATAAATGGGACTTGGAGGAAAAGGGTCATAATCCTTTCATCCTCTTTTCTGGCACAGCCCAGCCCAGCTTCTCTAGTACATAAACTTGCTTGATGTCTCTTGGTAATGTGCTGATGCAAACAGCACCAAACTGTCTTGAGTCTGTATTAGAGAAGTGTCATCTTCAACTTTCTGCTTACATTAATGGTAAATGCTAAAAAAAAAGCTTCCCTTATAGTCTAGTAAATAAAATTTCCCATAAGAAAACAACAAGAGGGTTTCTCAACATCCCTGCCATTGACCATGCTAGACAGTCTGCAAGTCTGAAGCAGATGATACAATTTTGAAAATGGGTGTGATGGTGAAAAGTACTCAAGCACCAACAGAAGTCACTTTCAACATGTCTGGGAAACCTGAACCCCCGTGGCTGTTTGTTCTTACTGTCTGACACTGATCAACATTTCTGATCAGCCACTTCACCAAGCAGTCATTCATCCTACATGCAGTCTGGAGCTACCCAGAGGTACTTAATCCATCCACATGATTATTTATGGGAGCAATAGAGTACAATCCTGGAAGCCACATTTCAATATCAGAATCATTTTTATCTCATCTTGGGCATCATCCTTTCCAGAATTGTCCCCTCAGTGATCAGTCGCTGACAACTCAGGTATCAAAAGTGAATATCCATGTAAGAGCCTTTCACAGGAAGAGGTCTTGTTACTGTCCGCTGCCAGATTTGCCAAAAAAGCTTTCAGAGGTGACTAGGGATTTGGTGATTACTGGTGTTATTCAGGATTTGGATCTACACTGTGCATCTTCAGTCCATGTAAGGGACGACTGGCTGCTACTGTTGCTTCCTAACAGCAGCCCAGCCAGCACAGAAGTCCACGAAACAGTATGTCTTTGACGTTGGATGTCTGAATATGATGGATGAATATGGTGCATTTTCTTGATTCAAATAGATTTAGTCTGAATTATAACTTAAATGTAATACAGTACTTAATGAACAAAAAAAGGATCCATATTTATTTTAGACTCATTTTCATTCCTGGAATGTGGTTTTTAGTTTTCTGCCTTGCACACTATAGGTTAATTATGACAGGTAAACTCACTCATATACTGCAATCTAATTTTTAATTAAATGTTATATATGGTCTGCTATGATATTGGCAAGCAGATGCCCCAGATACATTAATTATTGCCTAACTTTAGAATTGTATTCCTGGAGTTGTAAGGGTGGATATGCTTTTCTGACACTGCCATTGCTACAAGTACCTTGGAATTAGAGCTTTAGGATGAAACATATCTAAGAAACAAACAACCTTTAAGATACTTTATGTTTTCAGTGTATTTTCTTGCTGCCTTTCATAATTTTTAGCATTGCTAAAGCCTTTAATCTTGACACAATTCTGTATGTTCTCATTAGAGTTGGAGAATTGCAAAGTACTTGACCTTTTATGCTAAAGCTATAAAACGTTAAGCAAATTTGTTTTGCAAAATCTAATATAAAAAAAAAAAAAGGAAGGTGATGCTGAAGAGAATGAAGACGGAAGATGGCAATGTTCAAGACCAGAATATTGGGGTAACACATTGTTTGGAGGCAAGCGAGGACTCACTGGAGCACTGCCTGTACATAGCTATGCAGTCATTCGTATGGGGAGAGGACAATTCAAAATTGCCTGGCTAGTCTCTTCTTTCTCCACACCAGGTCCTCCCTACAAGGGAGGGAGAATCAGAAGTCTTTCTGTGTTTCCAGGGCATGAAGATTAGACTGTGCCAGGCAGTGATGACAATAAGGGAGAAGGAAAAAGGTGGTAGTACCCTGCAGATCCCTGGAGACAGAAATGTGGAAAGAAAAGAGACTTGTACATCTCTCCAACTTTGCTTAACTGGACTCATGAAACCATGAATTTCTGTAGTGTGATCTTTACAGTTACAATTTCATGTTAGTTCTGGTGACATTAGCTGCTCACATTTTGTTATTCTCCTTTATGTGTCCTGAGAAGCCATGCTACAGAATTACAGCAGGAGGCCTCTAATCTTTCCTACTGTTGCATTTGTCTGTACATTTATGCAAGGAGCCAGCCAGAAACAAATATATAGTGATGTCGACAGGTGGTGGCAGAATTTAATACTCTCTGATATCCTGAAAGTTAGCCAAGCATCCTGTAGCACCTTATCAATAACATAACTTGCTTCAAGTCACTATCAAAGCATCACTGTGGTCACATCATTACTTGAAATTTGCTACTTTCTAATAATATAGAGGGGTAAGCAGGAGGACAAATATCTCTTTAGGTTGACGTACTGAGTGTTAGCATCACTAAATTTACTCTGTATCTAATCTGCTCTGGATTAAAAACTGACTTTTAAAAGGACTTCCTAGCTTTGCTAAAATACACAGTGTTTTATTTCGCTACAGTTGAATGCTCCTGATGTATTAAAAAAGCATTTTTCTGCTAACCATCTTTGGAAAATGGCTTACTGTAGGAATTTATATGGTTCTTGACATACTCTAACCTGCTATTTTTTTGTAAAAAATAAAATAAATAATTAGTGGAGTGGGCCTAAAACCAGATGTAGGTATATAAAATATTGATCCAGCTGTAAGAGAATGAGAGACATCTTTGCCTCAGGGGCTTTTATTTCTCAGTTACTATGCGAGGAACACTGACCTTAAAAGGGCCAGTGCTAATCCTTAAAGGATTGAAAGTAATCTCACTCCTTCAGGCTCCTCTGCTCCGACAGTGCTACTGGGGATGGCATCTGCCACGGCTCTGGGGCTGAATGCAGCACATGGCTCTCCAGGATAGACCCCAAACATCCTCACTGCTTCCTATGGGACATTGTGGTCCTTCCCTGCTATTCTGGGGCAGGAGGGAAAGTAGAACATTTTTCTCCTTTACTTAGACCTCTGTCTCAAAATTGCAAATGGTAGGGGGAGAGTCTCATGTCTGTACCTCCTTTGGTGACATCTGCTTTGCAATGGTAACGCTCCTGATTTGTCTGCTCAGAGATAATCAAGTAACGCTCTGCACAGACCTTATAAAAATGCATGCTGATGCTTGTGTATAGAGACTAAAAAGCAACTTTGTGTAGTTTCAGTTTACAGCATGGCATGCTTAATTTCTGCATTAATGAACAACACAGTGACTATTTTTCAAGTTCTGCTCATTTGCTGTATTTCACATGCTTACCTCACCGTTGAAGAAGCAGAATATAGTTGCCACAAGTAAACCCTAAGAGAAAGGAAAAGAGTTTAGTGATTAGAATACATAATTTTTTTTTGGCATTGTTTGGAAATTTGGACTTGATGGATACAAGATAAAGAGATTAGTCCACTTCTTCTACATCACAGACAGTTCACCTAACCTACCCCTCTCTCACAGCTATGTTATTACATTGATTTTTGTCTTTTCAACATTTTTTACCATTTTCTCCTATACTACAACCATTTATAGATTATCTGTTTTGGCTATGAAATTTTTTTTTTTTTTTGTACAAGAGGCCTAGAAAAGGAAAATTAAATTATATGTAAGGTAGATAGATACTTTGCTTACACTGGAGTACCACACTGCCACTGATTTTGCTGAAGAGATGACAGAGGAATTGTGTCCTACATGCTGCCACTTATTTGTCAGAGTGCAGTTACCCAGTTAAAAGTGTTGGCCAAGGAGAATCCAGCTGCCCCAGGATGGCTTTAAATTGAACTGTATATCAGGATAAGAGAACTTGTATGTTGGGCATCATGATGGATGGAGAGGATGTGAAAAGGGGTATCAGTGATCAGAAAAAGGAAAAAAATCCCCAAAGAAGTTAGAATTTTGGGGGGAGAAAAAAAAAAAAAGAGAGAGAGCACAGATCATAGCTTGGTCCTAAATGACTTAATTTAATTATTGCCACATTTGTTCAGATAATATTTCACTAGTGCTACAAAATTAAATAGGGCCAAGGCAGAAACATGAGGTGAGAAAGTGTGAAATTATTAAGAGAGAAAATTCTCACACACGGAGGCTGCCATTCAGAATCATATAGTTACACTGGTCCATGTCCTAACCACACTCACTCATATTAAAATACCATTACATAGCATCACTGGGAACAAAATGCCTTTATTTTAAATTATTTAAACTAATTATTATAAACTAAATGTATGACAGTTTGTGAAATTGAGGGGAAAACTGCAATAAAATAGCTTGTGTTCCCAAGGGCTGCTTTGGAGAGCTTTGCAGCTGTGTGTTTCTAATAAACTCTTATTTAACTGATTATCAGTTAAATTGTAGATAATGCTTTGTAAAATGTCTTGGACTCTTACATGTATATTTTGGACCACAAATGTAGGGTAAGTAATAACTATTTTAACAAAATGTTTATATATTAGAGATACACAGGCTGGTTTGAAGAGGTGCTGACCACCTGAATTTTGGCAATTATTTGGCAAACTTATTGGCAATAAGTTTTCTCTAATGTGGAATGTGTAATTTGACGACTTCAAATATGAACACAGAAAAACATGTGCAAGGAGGAGGAAGGGTAGACATAATGAGAAAAAAAATATTTCTTTGAATGTTTTGGAAAAGCAGTATTCTGAAAAAACTCAAATCCCAGTATACAATATACAATGCACAACAGTTTGTCCATAAGCCCCAGGTTGAGAAGCACCACAAAGCCAAGCAAAACCTTACACCACTAAAGCAGGACTTTGGCAGACCACAGATTCCTAAATCAAAAACTTATGCAAGGGGAGAAAATGTGTGACTTCCCCATGGCCTATATTGATTTTCTCCTGCACTGTGTGCACATTAGTTTGCCCCATCTTGCAAAACATCTGCATTGAACTACATGGTACATGGTTGCAGCAGGGGTCTCACTATTTTGCTAAAGTGTGTTTTTATTAACAGCAGTCAGCCATGATGGCAAATGAGATGACTCTTGACCTCCTCTGGCAGTAGGGACGCTTGATGAACAGCCCATATGAGGCACGGCAGATACAAAAGAAAGCAAGAGGAGAGAAATAAGCAGATAAATTTTTCTAAGTCTGTTCTCCAGCGAGAGTGTTTACGGGGAATTTGAAAACTGCAGTTCACCTGAAGGCAGAATTTGAACCTGAACTGTTGAAGTGAAGTCATTTTCCATTTCAGTTCCTGTATGGTATTTGAATTCCTCTGTTACATCCTGCAATTGCTCTATTTTACTTCTCTTGGAGAGTGTAGTTCCCTTAACTAGTGTTTTCTCCAGACAACTTCTGACAGAAAAGTTAGAGGAAGCTGTGGTGATGCCTCATATCCATTTCAGTTCCTCTTCTGGAGTAAGCTGAGAGCAGATATGGCTCCTTGATATTTTGAGACCATGCATTTTGTACATCTCTGGCTGAAGACATTGTTTCCTCTAGTTTGTCCCATATATGTCTCCTTGCTCTTCATCCACCAGCAACAGCCATCTGGGCTCTGCCATTTCTATTTCTTTCTATTTCTATTTCTATTTCTATTTCTATTTCTATTTCTATTTCTATTTCTATTTCTATTTCTATTTCTATTTCTATTTCTATTTCTATTTCTATTTCTATTTCTAATTTCTATTTCTATTTCTATTATTTCTATTTCTATTTCTATTTCTATTTCTATTTCTATTTCTATTTCTATTTCTATTTCTATTTCTATTTCTATTTCTATTTATTTCTATTTCTATTTCTATTTCTATTTCTATTTCTATTATTTCTATTTCTATTTCTATTTACGTTCTATTTCTATTTCTATTATTTCTATTTCTTTTATTTCCATTTCTATTTCTTTAATTTTATACATAAAGTTTTGCCCATAGTTTAGAGTACTATTGTTACCTTCAGCTGTAATGCTACAGAGATATCAGTAGCAGACACCAGCTTTGTCTCTTCAGAGACAGGGGGGGCTTGGGATGATGATAATTCTATAGTGGATCTATTAAAACATGTGACAGACTGAATGTAGGTTAATTACTTCATGTAGGGCCCACAGGTTATTTCTCATATCTCTTTGACATACATCTTCCATATGCTCTCTAATGACTGCTGGTTTTTGCTCAGGGTGTAATTCTTGTTGAGGATCACATCTCTAGGTCAATTATCTCTCTCTGCCACTGTGTTAAACTGACCTGTGATACGTTGCCTGCAGCCAGCAGGGTAACATTGGCTGTGATATTGAAGGCTGAGATGAAGAACACATTTATTTTGAGATTAAGGCCTTTCATGACTTCTGTAATTTTTTATTTCTGGAACTGTATGAAGACCAGATGAATGTGGCTTTTGGCTGAATCATGCCTTAGGGATTGTCCACAGTCAGCAGCTCTCAGGCCTTCATGTACTTTATTGATGCCGTAGTGACTTTTCCCCTGTGTTTAAGTGCCTATACCGATCCAAGGAAATTCTTTGTTAGACAGGTATTTAATTTGTGTCTCACTCTCCTAGAAGACTTATGTGTTCCTGTAATTTGCTCAGGCTAAAAGGAAACAAACAAAAAGTACCTATTGTGATACTGCAAATTTACATGGGTTTCTGATACCTCAGTTGGTTTTCTTCCAGCTTATGTCTCCATAAAACCAAGAAAGCATATATAGACATGCTTATTCCTGCTATTCCTAAGTGCATCCATGGCCTTAGTTTCTGCCCTAATTACATACTGTGTTGCTGTTTAGGCTTTAATGGGATGGTATAGTAAGATGATGGCACATGTAATTGTACAAATGGCCATAATATAAAAAATCAGCCTGTGATTCTCTGTGCGGGCTTTGGTCCATATTCATTCACTTCTTGATTCTGGGTCTGAATGGACAGCAAAAAAAAAAAAAAAAGCATGGCCAAGGTTCTTCATAGAAGTACTTCCCATTCCCATCTCTCTCATTTCAGCAAAGATAAAAAGCTTTGAGAAAAACAATACTGTGTTCCTCTTCATCTTTATTCACAGCACATTCATACAGCATCTCTGAGGTAAATGTGTTATAAAGTGTTCATTTATGTTAGGTTAAAAAAAATAGGCAAAGCAAAGAATGTGTCTGTGCAGTTTCTCATGCTGCTAAGGTGGGGAGATTGACATGAGAAGGCTGAAGACGGAAGCCCACCTGCTGCAAAATGATGCAGACATCCCATCAGCCAAAGCTCACACTTTGCTGCTTCTCCTGCTTGCTGCTGGAGATTTCATTACTGTCATTTTGTACATGAATCTTTCATACAAAAATGGTACTTTGTAATATCCAGGTTTCAAAATAATATTTTCCATAACTTTTATTGTCTAAAAATATTAGAAAATTTAAAAATTAATAATAATGCAAAGAAAAAAAAAGAACAGGAAATAAAACCCGTCCTTATGTTGTCAAAAACAGTCCTATGACCTTAACTTTGCACAGAAGGGGAAAGTGTTTCTGTCTGGTTTGGCATCACATAGGATATTATTTCTCTTTAAACAGAGAAACAGATGGAATTAATACCTTCTAAAATGCACTAAAATATCTCACTATTTTTAAAAGGCTACTTTTAAATGGGTTAATTTTGTTCTGTATAAATCTGCATAAAGAGTTAAATTTAAAACTTGGAATCAGGGTGGATATATATGTGGCCCCAAACACATGTCTAAAAGATACAAATACCCTTTACACAAACAAGGCCCTCTATAAACTGGATCCTCCTGCCTGGCAGGGCGGGTGCTGAAGTCCCGAGGGTGCTGCTTGGAAGCCGCTGTGTGACACAGAAATAATCTTACTTGAGAAAGAAAACTTTGATTATTCTCCATTTAATAGGAAAAACCTTTTTATTTGCCAATAAAAACTGAGGCCCTTATGCTGAATAGCATTTCTTAGTTGGAGGCAGATTTGTACATTTAGGGCCACAGTCAGCAAGGTATTGAGAAGAGTAGCTTTAAGTGCTCACATATTGCTGTTGATTCAGGAGCTATTTCTCCACTGCACCAAGCAGACCTCCATGGCCAATTCTTCCCGGCATAGTGACAGTGCCACGTTAGTTAACGTGACAGACTCTGAATATCCAGCTACAAGATGGTGGAGAGAGAATTTGGTGAGAGGGTACAGTTGGTGGAAGGAACTTGCAAGCAGGAGTGTGCTAATCTCCAGGATTGTTTGAGAGCATCTGGTGGGGAGGTCTGTATGTGAGACTAACCGATGTATGATGGGGTTATTGAAGTTTTCTACTCTTCCTTTTTTCTTGTGAGGCCTCTGCTATGGACCAACATCAGAGATCAGAAGCTAGGATAATGGTCACCGGTAGCATACCTTCTGACAGGAGCTCAGCACCCCAGTCTCTTTGCAGCCTGGGATCCCTCAAAAGATGCTTAGTGGTTCCTTGGGTGGGTGAAGTGGCAGCAGCATCTCCAGGGCCAGTAGAGGTGCAGATGGCCCTGCCAGGGTGAGAGACACAAGCCACATCTCTCCTGCCCTATCTCGGCATGGAGACCTGAGTGCAGTTACATGCAGGACACAGGGCTGTTGCCACTCCACTCCTTTGCAGGAAGCACCCTCTTTGTCCTGGCATACCATTTCATCTTTGCTGGGCAGCATGATGGGACTTCTCAGGCTTTTAAGTGACAGACACAGAGGTGTGTAAGGAGCCAGCACATCCTGTACCGTAATGTTTTACACCTGGAGGAAGTCTGCATCTAACTGGTGTTTCTAAGTCAGATCCTTTAGGGAAAATCTGCAACTCAGTGGCTCTTCTGGAGTGCAAATGTTTGCTTTGTGGTGCCTACTTCAGGAGCTCTGTTTAATAAACTGAGTGTTCAGCAATGCACCTATAGCATCCCACTCTGTGGATAAGTTATTCTACTTAAGGGTTGAAATATCTTTCTGGTGGAATCTTCATTTAAGCACAGTCTGGAGACTGAAGAGCTGATACTGTTGATGGTGAGGGGAGATACTTATCTCTACTTTTACAGGATCCAGTGGAGGCTGGCTGGCTGGGCTGGAAAAGTACATGCATTCATATTTGCAGCAAAAAAGCCAGGCGTCAATTTTTTCATCATTTGCATAGTTACTCTGCATATCTGTTAAGAAGTATCTGGTCTATGTGGTGAAACAGACACAAGCTGATACAGGGGAGGTAGACTTACAGTGTTTATGAATTGCTCATATAGTGATATTTGGAAAATCACCCTCCCTGCTCAAAATGGTGAGCATTAATGACAGTATTGCAAAAAGAGCAGGACAATCCAAAACCAGACTGGCTTCTGTTATTCAGAAGTGACCTCAGCAGAGCAAACCTAGAATGTAACATCTCAATGTGTTGTTTTTCAACTGGGAAAACCATTCTCTGAAAGAAATACCATTACACAGTTTCTTGTGGGAAAAAGTTCTTTCTCATTCATCATCAAGCCTCTGATTTTTACAATAGACTGAAGTGCTTGTTTGTACCATTTCTATGTACATGGATGACGTAACTAATATATCAAACCATTGTGCTCACTTAAAGCAATGATGTGCTGTTGAAAATCCATTTCTCTTTCTGTTCTAGAAAAGGCATTAAAAAATTAATCATTTAACCGGTGCAGAAATGGAGAATGTATTATATTTTCTACCCCAAAAAATTATAATTGCACCCACGATGCCTGCTTGTATGATTGACGTGCCATGGGATGCAAAAACTAATAGACTGCTGATAGTTTATGGAGAGGCAGGCTGCACTGCATTTTATGAGAGCACAACAGTTAGTGGGGAAATATAGCTCTTACACAAGCTAGTATCTGCTAATTACATAATCAGTCTTAGAAGAAAATGAGGACCAGAGGAGTGATTATATAGCTGGTCATCTTAAATATGCATACAAGAAATGTTTGGGAAAGGATTAAGAAAGTTTATCTTAGAATACAATTAAAAATCTGCTCTATGTAGAAAAGGGAGCATCACTGTTGGCTGCAGTAAGCAGGACAACTACATAGTCCTCCCAAAAGCCAGATTTTACATTCTGGCAGGAAACACACTGAGATTGTATTGCAGAGGTGTCAAGAGTTCTTCTATGAGGTCTGCATTGCTGCCCTGGCTCAGGGACAGCCCTGGGTGGGCTGCCACCCCTCGGCACGGCCCGTGGCCTCTCTGGGCAGAGCAGCAGTGGGGCACGGGCAGCCCCCACCATGTGCCCACGCCAGTGTCCCCAGCACCGTCCCTGCTGCTGAAATGGAATACAATGTATTGGCAGGGGGCAACTGGGGGCAACAAGCCATGGAGAGACACCAATTTCTGACGATGGGGACAAGGGCAGAAGGAACCCATCAGAGATAAAACTTTGCCTCTTTGGATCCCTCCCTCACCTAATCCCATCCAACCATTCATCCAACAGTTTCACAATACTTTGGTTTTGTTCCTGGTTCCATTTTAACCTTGATTTGGCGACTTTCTATTGCATAATGATCATCATTAGAATTGTTAAATAAGATAATCAATATTCATTTTGTAATTCTTCAACAACCTTACAGGATTTGAGAGATGATTTAAGAGTAAAATGATTATTGTAGCACTCTATCTTATCCTAACCTGCTAAAACTGTAAGCAACTTGTCACCAGAGAACTTATTTGGAGATACTCATTTATAACCCTTGAAACCAAAGTGACAATACAGGTAACAACACACAACAGTAAGCAAACTTTCATTTCTTTTAAGCAGAACTGTAATATAACGTGGCATACACTACAAAAACAGACCTAAAACTTCAGTTTTTCTATGAATGCAGTAGCACGCACACCCACAGTTTTGAAGGGATAAGGATGATAAGCAGAAAATATAGTCTGAGATGACAGGAAGCATAGATTTTGGTAGCTTTAATTATCAGTTCATTTAAGGGAAAAACACCACTGACTTTTTTTTTTTTTTTTAAGATGCTTTCTTACTACAACATTTAAATAATTTCTGCATTTAGCTTCTGTATGAAAGGAAACAAGAAGTGGATCACTGTACTCACCCATGCTGACCACTATTCATGAATTCATCAGAAATCTGCCTTTCCTAGTCAATATAGGACTGGATATATTACAGTCAGTAAACCAGAGAGGTAATCAAGCATTTAAAGTCATTTAGGTTTGATTTGCTTTGTTTTTTAAAGAAAACAAACCAGACTTACTGAATGATGCTGTATTTTCAGAGCATTTATGAAATCAAAATGTCAGTCTTATATTTTAATTTAAACTGCCTAATAATGCAATTTTAACTCCTAAATGAAGCTTCATTGTCTCAGTCTTTTATTCTGTGCTAGCATTCCCTTTGTACAACAGTTTGCATACACAGCTAATTTTAATACTAAACTTACAGCAGCAGTTTCAGTCAATTTGAGCACTTCAACAGAAATCACATTGGAACATAAAAGCCCTCTGTGATCTCAGTTTTTTCTCTTTAGTTTAGAAATAGTGCCATCTGATCATTTGTGCTACATTTTTCACTGTTTCCCTATCTTGTGATTGGTTTTTTTTTGCAGCGGTGCTACTTGAGCAAAGGCAGATAATCCACTAATGTGAAAATGGTTGGAAAAGAACTTCAAAACTGCAATCACAGCTTGGTTTTGGGGCCAGACAACTGGCAAGAGCATCTTTGGCTAAATTCACTTAACAGCAAACACATCACTTAAGCTGAAGTTGCTACTATATAACATACCTGGTAATGCATTAATATATGCATGATGTAATCATATATTTCTCCAGCAAGTCGGTTTTCTGGTCTCCAGGGAATAATAACAAACTGAATTCCTAGTAAGGGCACCAGGATTAAAGTGGCTCTGACAGCTTTCATATACATGTTGGACTCAGCACGGTGGGTATCTCTTAGCTTTGTCACCAAAACTCGGACAATGTTAAGCAAAAAGAAAAAATTGACCTGCAAAAGAAAAGATGTTATCAGTGAAAGTGTTAAAATTAAACAGGCATTCAAAATAAAAATACAGAGCACATAAATTGCAGTAAAATGTAACTTTCTAGATTTATCTTAGCTCATAATGGGCAGCTTCTTGGGTGTCAGGCCTTGGAAAGTACCTTGAATGTCTTCAGAAAAGAGATGTTAAGCTGCTCTACACACTCCCCTTAGGAAGCCTGCATGGATGTTTCAGGCAGGCAGGGATCAGTTCCAGGAAGCACTGTCTATTTTGACACCGATGTGGGCAAATTTAGGATTTCCAGGGAACAATTAATCTCGTTTCTATATCTAAAGTTTAAATGGGATGGGTGAATTGTCCCTAGGACTCTCCTCTGAATCTGAAGGTCACCTAGGTATCTTGCTCCAGTCCACACTGAAGATGTCTGCAGCCAGGTGAGACAAACCCCAGCATATCCCTGGGCATATGGGATCTATGGGGGCACACAGTTTCTGTGAGGAATGTGCTCCAGCTTACATGGGCCGATACTTCAGGCTTCTGTACAAGCAGGGAGGCAAGACTGCTCTTGAGAAAAACCTAGGCTACCCCTTGTCTCTACCAGACTGCATGGACCCGGTGGTACACTACCCACAGCTAAAAGTTAACACTTGCTGGATCAGGACAGAAATGTCAGACAGTTCAGAAAGTTTTGCTCCTGACCCTTATTGTCAGTGATGCCAAGGAGCTCAGCACCTCATCTCAGCCATTTCTGGAAATTTTATTCCAGCTGTGGGTGCTCAACATATGGAAACCTGCTCTGCACAGTGAGCTCCTTGAAGGATGTGCTGAGAGCCTGTGGAGGAACAGGGAGGGCAGACCAGGCTGATAGTGAGCCAGGCTGATAGTGGGAGGGCCACAGAGATGATCAAAGGACTGGGAAACCTGACATAGGAGGAAAGGCTGAGAGAACTGGGTTTGTTCAGCCTTGAGAAGAGAAGGCTTAGTGGAGACCTTATCACCATGTTCCAGAATTTAAAGGGATACAAAGAAGTTGGACACCCTTTTCACAAGGAGTCGCATGGAAAAGATGAGGGGTAATGGGTACAACTTAGTCCTAGGGAGATTCTGATTGGACACTGGACAAAAATTGTTGACAATCAGAACAATCAGCCACTGGAGCAATCTTCCCAGGGAAGTGGTGGTTTCCCCAACATTGGACACAAAAAAGATTCAGCTGGACAGGGTGCTGGGCCATCTTGTCTAGACCTTGCTTTTTCCAAGAAAGGTTGGACCAGATGATCCTTGAGGTCCCTTCCAACCTCGTATCCTATGATTCTATGATTTTAAGACTTCTTGACTACTGGGAGACGTTTCAACTGTTTTATATTTGTGCTCTACTGGAAGAAAAAAAGGGATAATAAATGACTTCTGAGGTCACATTCAGCATTAAATATAAACCTTATTCTTCATCCTACTCTGATTTCACTCAGTCTGCTTAACCTTCACCTTTAGAATTTCTGGAAGTAACTGAAAATTGGAAAAAAGTCTTTACAGAGGTAAAAATCCTGAACTCTTCTGAGTCAGTCTTGTCACTATGGGATTTTTGTAGCAAATCATGCAGGACATTCTGTAGACATTGACAAGAAAAATAAGACTGGAAATGCCATAAACACAAGCTACAAATTATAATGCCTTATTTTGAAAACAGAGATAGTTCTTTTTCCATAAAAAAAAAATCCCTCCTTCTTTCTTTGTGTCTGAGATGTACAGACTTGGAGCGTGGTGATAAAAATAAAGGTTGAATGGCCTCTCCTTGAACTTAGTTGCCACTACAACAGCAGAAGCAATCAAGATTGAACCAGTAAACCCATAATAGATGTGATTCTATGGGAACAGCAGGAAGGAATGGGCTTCTTCACATTGTTGATGTGCAAGACTGCTTCTCAAGAAAGGGTAGAAAGATTTTCAGTTTTTTCAGCTATTAGATGAAAAATTATTTATTCAAAGGTGTTCCCAGTATTTACCACCCTGCTGTTTGATCTCCAAGGTAATTACTGAAGGTACATCCATGCAGATGTTTGCAAGCAAAAGGCAGTTCAAAAGGTGAAAGTGCATCTTGGGATATACACCAAGGTGAATTTGGAGCTTGGGTTGAATAAAACCCTTTCTGCACCTTTCAGGAAGGTCAGGATTACCAGTGCCAAACAGCACCACTGGCATACAAGATGCTATATGTACACATGTGGCTGAGCTGCACTTTGAATCTTGTCCTCCTACTCAGACAGCCCAGTCTAGTCCCTTCCATGGACTAGTTTAGCTCCCTACCTTTGGACCATACCACTTCAGTGACCAGTAAAACTCGTGTTGAGTGACCAGCCTGCACTCAGCTCACCTCAGCTAAGGCATAGCTATACCTCTCATTGATGTCACATAAATGCAGTACATTTTTCACAAATAAGTTACGCTGGAAGGGAGTGACCACCCTCATTTTCACAAGCAGTTAGTTATTCTGTTTGCCTTAAAAACTGATTCTTTACTGGGAGGTCCGTTAACAGGACTTGATTTTGAAAAGTATTGAGAACCTGTCCTTGTAACACTGAGTAGAGAAAACCTCTAGCTACTTCTGAGTTTTGATAAAAATATTTAAAGTATAGAAACTTCAACTCTGTATAGGTTAGCAGCATTTCTAAAATAATTATTGAATTGTTGACAGCAAATACTATTCTTACCAATAAAGCTGCCATTACAGGTCCATGAACAATATAGAGCAAATGCGTGTCAACACTCATCCAGCAACTGGAAGAGAAATACAACAATAAAATTTATTATTAACTCAAATAAAATGCGTTACACAGTTAAATAATGCTAAGTTCCTTCAAAACCAGATATGCTACTCACTTGTCATTGAAGTATCTGGCTCTTGCAACAGCGTGAATAGATGCTGGCACTAAAGGGAAACCTGAAATGATTAAAGTTATAGATCAGTCTTGGTATTCTTTTAGCTTGAATTTCAGGTGTCACACACTAATAAGTCTCTTGTCCACAAAACACATGTATGTGAAATCACAGCTTTCTGGGAAGAACTGCAATCCTATCGCACTCAGGGCCCTGCATTACCTTAATGGTAAAATGCAAAAGGGAATAATGTTCAAAGCAGGCCAAAAGGAGAAGCAAAGCCCACAGACCATGCTCTGCTGGGGTGCCACAAATCAGCTGCCAGGCTCTCCCTGAGTTGCCGTGGCTTGTGCAGGGAAGGGTGTAAGCAGGCAGTGTGGGAAGGATGCAGGGATCGTTTGGTTTTCAGCAGAGTATTCCCTCGGGAAACCAGAAACACTTGTTAAAACCATGTCAATCACTGTTGAGCAAGAGAGAGGCACGTTAATTCTCATGACAGGTTATGGAGCAATAAATGACAGAGTGCCGAGATGCTCTTTTGGAGCCTATGGCAAGAGAAAATGTTGGGACCCAAGAGGTTTTTGAGGGTATGGGGATTTGTGATATTGTGTTCCCAGGGTCTATGCAGCCAAGCTCATCCCATGCAGCTTTATCTCAGCAGGGAGTGGAGCTGTGGATATCATAAATCCACTTCTCCTAACTTACCCGTGAAGCCTCAGGGGAGGCCACTGCTCTGCCAGGTAGATGGTGGCAGTAAATTTGCACTGGTCCAAAGGGTTAGGAACATGCCATGCTTAACAAACTGGAAGCCTCAAATTCTTATTTCCAGCCTGACATTAAGAGTGACAATCTGGTCTGCTCCTGTCCATCTTCCTTCAGCTAGCTTGTATGTTGTGTCCCTCTCCAACAGACTAGAAACCTGAAACTGGGGAGTCTGCACTATAATACTGACCCCAGTTTCTGTACAACCTTGCACATGCATCTGGCCACTGAGGAGATGACTTACTGCCTTGTCTGTACAGTGCAGAGAACTTTGTGGACACCTTTGGTGTTACTGTTGCCTGTTCCCTATAAACCATGGATGTTTCTTCTAAGCTTTGCATATTCTATAATTATAAATAAGAGTGTGTGAAAATGTCCTGCTGATACCATGATTAGTCACAGAGGGAAGAACGTGGCTACTTGTTTCTTCAGGTATTAGTGATTTCATAAACACTTTTAGAAGAGACAGAGAATCATTAGCCAAATTCTGGGGAAGTCTTACCTCAGAGAGAAGGCCAGCCAATGCTGGAGTGAGAATAAGGTCAAAAAAGTATGTAAATAGGACACTTTGATGTCTCCAGATATCTTTAAGCAACAGTTACTCTACTGCCAAAAAAAGTTCTTACTGCAGTTTACCTCGGGAGGACGTTGCAGATGTGAGAGAACAAAGTCTATTGCCTTCTCCTTTATATATTGTTAGAAAATGATTATTTGGCTTCTGGCTGCAGAATGCCTGGTTTTGGGTGATGGTACACAGTAGAACAACAAAAAGTTCTGAATGGAAATAAAGGAGCTTCCAACCTCAGGGTAAATTTATGGGATTGACAGCTTGAGAAAATCCTTTTGATTTGGAAATGGAGCAAGTCTGGTCCAGTTTTGTTGACAGACATCTTGAAGTGACATTTTTAAGGGGTCTTCCTGTAATAGCAAAAATTCTTCATCTGAAAGCTCTGGCCTGGAGTATTACGAGTAGAGCACTCCACATGATGCCAAGGGACCTTTTTTCTTCTGCTAAATGCATTAGCCTAGAATATTTGGCTCAACAAACTCACAAGCAAATCTTAAGAATGCGACGGAAAGTTTTCATTAGTCAGTTACAGGGTAAGAAGCTCATGACTGTCTACGACTCAAATTTCCAGCTGCAGGCTGGATAGGCTCTTCTAGATGTTACTCTTTTGTAAAGGGCCAAAGGGCAGTGAGTTAATAAGAAGTGGAGCACCAAGGTCTGTTGGGTCTTGGTGGTGCAACATGTATCATTCCAAGGGTCCTACCAACACGTGGTGAGCAGTGAATAATGTAGAAGAGGTCTTACCCCAGCCATCCCAGGAAAAAGTATGACATATCCTTTTAGGTTATGCCAGGTCCTTTATGGCACACACTGGCGATTACGCTTAATTGTATTTCCAGCTGAATTTGGAAGGCACTCTGTTTCAGTACTGTTCAAATAAATTATTCCCTTTTCACTTTTATGTGGATGAAGCTACCTGAGGCAGCCAGAGAGGACTGTAGCTGGATGCATACATTTGGTAGTGTTTTCTTGCCCTGCATAAAGGTGATTTCCTGACCCAGTGAAACAATAACAAATGAGAAATGACATCCCCAGCAGCAGTTCCCAGAGAAAGGGTCACCTGAAGGCATCAGCCTTGAAATACAACTGTCCATGTCAGATTCCATTCAGTCATCTCAAACCTTTTGTAGAAGTGTTTTATATTTGTCAAGACTTTAATTTTTTCCTATAAAGCTATTTTACAAATAAAATAATCTAGATATTTTTACATAGGGATTAGTTATAACAGTCTAGATATTTTTACATAGGGATTAGTTATAACAGTCAGTAATGAGCAACTTCATCTTGTGTTGTACATTTACTTTGATCTTTTGAATTGTAATTCAGAGCACAACCTGCTCTGGTTGCTCTGCATTGCCCTTTGGAGAAATATATCTCTCTTCCTTGATTAACATAGCTGGATGTTTAGACTGTGAGACTACTGCTTCTGGAATCAGTAGAATTACACTGATTTATGCAAACTTAAGGGGTGGCCAGATAGTCCTAATTAGTTCATTTTGCTATTAATGATTTCTGCCTTAGGAGGTGCTAATGATTACTTTTTTTTTTTTTTTTGTGGAAGTATTCATCTAGTTTCATTAAAAGGGCTGCAAACTTTATAGTCAAGAGTTGTGTCCATTTTTATTAACCTTTTCCTTCTCAATATATCATCATGCTATTACTACAACCAACACCCAATTTATTTTTTGGGCAATGCTGCAAATACTGATGACTATCTTATGAGATAACTTCACTGAATTACCCACCATGATGCCGGTGCCATTCTCAGCAATATTACAGCTAGCTCATAAACTTTCACTGCAGGCTAGCTGTCCCAGTTGCATTAAATTGCAGTCATGAAATTGAATGTCACCTGAAAAAAATATGTTTATGACTGTTTTCCTCTTGCATAATTGGATATGGAATGACACTATTTTGGGAAGGCTTATGCTGCAAGACATGCAAATGGAAAAAAGTTTATCTGGAAGGAAACATTTAAAATGACTCTTCACATAGGGATGCTATTTCAAAAGCAGAGCCCTATCAGACTATTGTACATTCAGATATTCTGAACTATGGAAACTTTGTGATAGCACAGTTGCTTCCTCCAAGTGGGCTCAGCTATTTGGATTGACAAAGTCCAGAAATCTTGACTCAATTTAGGGTTATTCAGGAAGGTTGTCTTCATTTAGGAGCTGATGATGTTCCACATACTTTTAATTCCAAGAGCATGACAGGTCCCTCTCTTCTCAGTAAAGATGTCATTCTCATAAGAAAAAAGAGTGCATGATGGCATTCTCATTAAAAAAAAAAAAAAAAAAAAAAAAAAAGTTCTTACCTGCTGCCTGGAAACTGGTATGCTGGTATCTGGCACTACAATCCATACAAACTAGAAAACCATAATTTTCTAGTGATGGTTCCTTGGGCAATATGCATGTAACTACACACAGTCTGCATCCATAGTGTACAAGTCTGTAACCTCTCTCAGAATATTATTGAGATTTGCTTATTGACACCTGCATGTTTCTCTGAAAAGCTTTAGAGATCACTGTTGTTGGACAAAATCAGCCCTGACAGCAGATCCTCTGTCTAGGTAAAATTGAATCTTCTCCTTTAAAACATCTGCCAAAATATGTCTGATACTGGATTCACTTCCAGAGAAATTCTGGATCCTTTTTCTGCATGCTGTGTTTTTTTATTTTGGGAAACATATATACTGATTTTTCCTCTTCTTCATTCCAGAAAAAAACATACTTTTATGGGTACTGTCACAGATTAATATTTTTGCATATAAAGTGACAGGAGTAGACAACTTTTGTTCAGAAAATAGATGTGTTTGGATAGAAATCTATTTCTCTCTCAAAGCCTTGCTTAACAAAACTTAAGCATTTCTTTCAGCAAATCCCCAGATGCTGCAAACAATCAATACTGACTCCTGCTGATTTTTGCAAGTCTCAAGGCCCATCCAAATAAATGCACTTAAATTTAGGACCCAAGAACTCAACCTTAAGCTTTGATCTAGTGGTATAATAATTCATGTGTCTAAGTGCAGAAGAATTCAAACACCTGAAAGAATTGACCATCTTGCTACAAATTATAACATACATACCCCAGCCCAAGAGGTAATACCAGTGCAAACGCTGCTCTTCAGCAAACACTGCCACCACAATCAATGTGTGAAGATAAATGCCTTCGCAGAGCATCCAGAAGTAGTTGCAACCCAACATGTACTGATGAAAGAATTGCAGCACTTTGCAGCTTACCTGTTAGACAAATGAGTTAATGTCACACACTTGACTAGCATTTTGCATTTAAGCAGGCAAAGACAAATGTCACTGTTAGGCTATAAGAAAGCAAAGTGGAACAAGAATTCCCAGCTCTTGTTGGGTTTGTTCAGCATCTATCAGTGGACAAGGATTTTGAACCTTTATAGATGAGATTAATGGAAAAAACAGCCCTCACAAAACAGAAAAAAATGTGTGATAACAGCACTCCAAAAGTACCACATAACAAAAAATCCCCTTCGAGAGTTGGTAATCTAGATTTTTTTTTAGAACTGAAACAAAAAACTTGTTCTACAAGAAATGCTGTGAAGAAGACAGTAATTTACAACTCCAATTTGGATGATTTCTTTTACTTTTTATTAAACTTTTCTAAGGCTTGTTCAGCTCTCCCATCCAAGCCAGAGTCACTCTTTAAACTGCACCCTGCTTCGGGAAGGGCAAGTGCTGTTGTCAGTGAGATTTTTTTGGTGTGGTACTAGGGATACCGGCTTCGACTCTTTTCATGAAGACAGCTTTCCTTTATTTTGTCCAAATAACAAAGCAGCATACAGAGCTAAAACAGATGTAACCAATGTAACCAACATCTCAGTGTACATTAGTCTTAGCTGGAAAACTTGCAAGTGTTTGTTCTTACAGAAACAAGTAAAATAAAACTGCAAGATGATACAGAAGCAAATCTTCCACCACTTCCATGCTTGATAACTGACTGTTAACTTTGAGATAAAAAACTTGTTTAGGTGTTTTGTCTTTTGCTGAAGTCAAATATGTTTTGCTTGCAAGTTCTTTGAGGCAGAGGCTCTGTCCTTATTGTGTCTTGTAAAATATGCAGCACAGTCAAATCCAGGACTCAAAGGATTATCACAGCACCTTCACACTATGAAGCAGAGTAAAATGCCATGAGCTCTCAGTCTCTGGGTGTGCAGGTGACTGCAGATAGTGGGTTTTAATTCATGAGCAGGGCAGGCTGAGAGGAAATAGCTCGTCCTTTCTAGTACAGCCCAGTACCCCTTGCTCAGGCTGGTGTGACTGTCTCCTAAACAAAGGAATAAACAAATGATCCTCTTTTTGAGAGCCTGGAGAAAGCACTGCACTGCACAATTTGGTGGCTCTGTAGCAGGGGATAGTGATACAATTACCAGGGAAGTCCCCAAAGCCAGGTAATCACTTAAGAATGCAGCTCCTTTGTGGCTGTGAGAGGATGGCCAAGAATTAACCCTTTTTTGGCAGAATGCAGCCTGGCAAGAAACTTGGTCTGCGAGCAAGGAGGGTGCCTCCTGCTACTTGTTCTTACTGCACTGATGAACAAAAAAGCTGTGGAAAGTTCTTTACAGATCTGCAGGAGAGCACCTGAGAAAAAGTCGCCTTTATTGTTAATTTTCCCTCTTCATGAAAGCAACCTGCAATGGCCTTAAATTCTGGCTCACTGCTTCAGGGGCAAGAAGAGTCAATAGGAATACAGTCAGTCATATTCTCCTCTCTCACAAATCTTGCTAGGATTCATGTAACTCTTGTGAATACCTCAGCTGTGATATGTAATGAAAGCACTTCAAAAGGATGCTGAAACCATTTCACAAAGAAGAAATAAAATAATTTATTGTCCTTTTACAAGAAGGAGCTAGCACTGGTGTCTATGATGTTTTGCAGGATATACTGGCATATTATAAATACTGTTAATGTTCCAGTCTTGTCAAAGGAGCCCCAAAGGTCCATCTGCCTGTGTAGGACCCTACAGTTGCACAGTAATACAGTTGGCATGTCACTCTCCTCAGCTAATCCAGCAGCCCCTCATTACATGTACTTGTCATTTCTCTGTTAAGGCTCTCCTTGGTTAACGGTTAATAACTCACAACAGAAAGCTGCAGTATTAATTACCATCACCACCCATTAGGGCCAATCAAACCAAAACACTCAGCCTGCAAAAAACCCAGAATACTATCTTCAACAAGAATAACAAAATGCAATGAGAAATAAACTGGACAATTGTTTGAATTATCAATTCAGTGTAAAAGGACCGACTCAGTTTTGGCATAGAAAAGTTATACAGATTCCTGTGTGTCCTTGTTCCCGCGATGCTTTTCTGGGTGAAGGGACTCAGGTTGGCAAGTTAGGAGGTCTGTGTTTTACACTAGTCCTTGCCAACTCCGGAGAGCCTGCCCTATGGAAAGCGAGGGTGGGATAGCAAGGGTGGGGTAGCCCCTTGGTGAGCATAATGAAACCTCTCTCTTCAGATGCTCACTATCCATTGAAATGCCCCCAACTGACATTTCAAATAAACTGTTAATAGGCAAACCAAGGTTATTGATTTTATACCAAGCCAGTTATATGGGCCATCACTAAAGCTGTGCACTTCTTTGTTTAAAAACAAATAAACACATTTGGCCTTATTAGTCTGATTCCTCTTCACCTCTGTGAACCTCCCCCGTGCATGGCAGCTAAGGACTCTTCTTGGGAAGAGTATGTACTCCTTGCCACGGAGGCCAGAAATTATTTATTCAAATTCAAGTTTGAAGGCGATACAATATATTGTCAGACATTCTTAGCATTTTAAAGGAGCTTGAAGTTTGATTACTGATCTGCCTTACATGTTTGTTTGCTTGTTTTTTGCTGGCTATTATAACACTATTCTGTGAAAATATTCTTAAATTCCAAGTATCCATATGTTACACAAATAAGCAATAAAAGGACTTTGCAAAGCAAGACAGTGCTAAGTATTTTAGCTCTAAATCACTGGCTATCAGAACGTCATACCATTGTACAATATATCTACTCTGAGTCATCCATTAAGCTGTGTTCCAGTCGGAAACCTGGCACACAAGCGCTTGGGCTAAGATTAATGTTTTAATATACTTTTAAACCATTTACAGAACAAAATGTACACAGTTGCTCAGAGGGATTCTAAGTTTTGTGTTAAAAGAAAGCAAAATACGTAATTGAACAATGGGATATTTTTAACAGCATCTGTGTCCATGTCTATGCTATAGTGAAGCAGCCAGCCCAGAATTAGGCATCCTGGACAGTAATTAATATGGCTACATCCACACATCCTTGAGCCCCAGCTGCTTTAGTGATGGTTCTCCCAGGGCTGCAGCTCTGAACTCTGCAGGGTGCCGTGCCAGGCTGAGCTCCCATGGGTTCCTGTGGCACGTCCAGCACTGCTGGCACGCAGCGGCCACCGGCTCCTCGCCCACAGGCTGCACCGTGGTAAGCCCCACGCAGGGTGTGAGGTGGAGAGCAACGCAGCCTCGTTGCCCCCAGCAAGCTTGGTTTCTGAGCTGGGGTTGCTGGAAGGAGGCAGCTTTTCAGGAAGGCTCTGTAAGTATGAGTCTGACCTATGGAGGAGGGCAGAGAGGCTGTCAGAGAGGAGGAGAAAATGGGTAGTCAGGGTAGTCTAAAGTGCTAGTCCAGGAACTACTTGACCTGATGTTCATTTGGACTGGAAACCGAGTCGGAGCACTCAGAAGGTCTTCTGCCATCTTCTCCCAGCTGCAGGAAGTAATCTCCAATGAAATGGGGTAAGAGCTACTTCTGTTTGGTCTTAAATAACTTCAAGAGAAGCAGGGTGGCTGGGTCATGACTGAAAATGGGCAATAATACAGGTCTGCACAGCAGTCACTGAAGGGCAATGAAGTAGCACAGATGGCATTCATCTCACCTAACCTGGATGTCTGACTTCACGGCATATTTGTGTAGACTGAAGCAGACCCTGGAGAGGAATGAGCACTCTCCATTTAATTCACCTGACCTGTTTTAGCCAGGTATGAGTGAGGAGAATGGTCTCCTGGCCTTAGACACAGATGCCTGCACTGGTAGAACTGCCATTTCATCAGACAAATACCAGTGAGGAAAATAGTTGTGGCAGCATGATATCAGGGAGAATATTTTTTTTTGGTATTATGGTACTGTCCTTCTGAGTGTAATTCCATTTGAAAATGTCCATCTTTTGAGGGATTTTGAAAAATCTACTTTCTGACCTATTCACTCTCAATTTTCTCACATTTTAGGTAGATACCTCGAAAGGTACTTGATAAGAAAAACTTTGAGAGAAACCGTGAGCTTAATTTAAATTATTTTGGATTAGTAGTTGCTTCTACAAAAGCAAAGCTTCTAAACAAAATTGCTTTATATTCCCAGATAAAAATCTAAACCTAAACTGCTTAGATGTACTGCTCATGTGGGAGGCCTGTTGTGGAAAGTGCAGGAATGGTTCATTAGGGGATGCCATGTCCGTACAGCATAGCACAGAATCCATCAAAAAGACAACTGTTAGCATTTGCATTTGTTGATCTGACATTTAAGAAGAAGTCGCTACTTGACATTTTTCCATGCCTGCGTTCTTAGGCGCTAATGACATATCATCTATTCACCTTTCAGTCTTTCAGATGCATAGCAGACAGTGCAATTGATAGAAATTTATGGTCAGCCAGGTCTCACCCTACATTTTTAGGACATATTCAGTTTCTAGTTACAAACCTCTCTCATGTCTTGAGGAAAATCAAAAGGAAAAATAATAAAAAGCCTCAGTAAAGCATGGAGAATTGAATTAGTGTCAGAACTCAGTCAAGCACAACTCCACACCAGGAAAGACTAACAGCCTTTCAGGGACTGATACAGCTCAGTTCTGAGAGTAAAATAACTACACCTTTCTTGAGCAGCAGTTCTGAAGGTATATCATGAATTTTAGCAAATCTGGAGTGGATTCACTCATTTTGCACTTACAGGGAGCATGTGTGTCTCTATGACAAGCTCATACAAAAACCCCAGTGGCTGCAAACTGCCACGGTGGCCAGACGGGAGAATTGCAGTTGATGACAGCAACACCAGGGATGCTGAGGTTTTGCTGATTTTGAAAACAGCTGTCCTGGGAGTGCTCATTTCTCACTGCCACAATGGCAGAGCTTCAGGGTTCAGAGATAGTGCAGGTGCACAATGGTTTGTCAGAATGACAGGTTAAATCAGACCTCACAAGGATGTTCAGATCT